TCCCGCAGAGCTGCCGGGCAGAGGAAAAGTGCCTCCCCACGCCCGCTGCCCCCCTGCCAGCAACAGGCTGCCCCCTCCCCTGAGCAACAGGCTGGCGAACAGCAGACAAAAGCAGCCTCTCCGCCCCTCCTCCCCCTATACATGCTGGGCTCCCTGGGCAAACAAAGACTCCACCAAAACAAACAAAGTGCTGGCCTCATTGTGTTAGCAAAAAAAGGACCCTCCTCCTAGAACCCTGGGTGGTGTGTGGAAATAAAGCTATTAGCTCAAAGCATGGTGCAGAGCTGTTTGGTATTTGATGAGTTACTCTTTTAGTCCTGAGTTTGTCACAGGGACAGAAATAGATGTGAAATCTTCTGAACAGGGGAACAGACAGCAAAACAAACATTAGAGGGGAGTTAACCTTTCCCTATGCTATCCAAAACTAAAAAAAATGTTTGGCTAGAGTTTCCCCTACAATATGTACCAGTTCCGACTTACATACAAATTCAACTTAAGAACAAACCTACAGTCCCTATCTTGTACGTAACCCGGGGACTGCCTGTATAGTCCTTAAGTTTGGGGCTTGGCCACAAAATCCAGATTCCCCCCTTAGTTAGGGTTCTAGCAACTTCCGCCCCCCCCCATTTTGTCTCTGGGGGTTGGTTTGGATGCTTATGGCTCCTATGGCTGGCCAAGTGGACAGGCTTTGGTTCATTTCCTACAGATTGTGTAACCACGTTCCTGTCTCTGGTCAGTCCCTCAGGGTATGTCTACACAGCAAAGTTATTTCGAAATAACATCTGTTATTTCGAAATAACTATCTTAGCATCTACACAACCATTCTGTTATTTTGAAATTAAATTGAAATAGCGGAGGGGTTATTTTGAAATTGATAAACCTCATTCCATGAGGAATAACGCCAATTTCAAAATTGCCATTTCAAAATAAGTGCTGTGTAGCCACTTATTTCAAAATAGGGGGCCACCAGCCTTCCTAGGTTGCCCTGGTGGCCACTCTGGCCACAACCAAGAATACTCCTCTCCCTCCTCCCCATCCCCGGAGCTCTTAAAGGGGTAGACTCTGGCCACAGTGTCTGTGCCAGCTCCAAGCCTGCCAGCCCAGAGCCAGTATTCACTGCCCCTGACCCTGTGGTGCCAGGATGAGCCAGGAAACCAGTGCCAGCCAGCCCTCCACTGCTCCCCAGGCCCAGTCCCCCAGCTCCCAGGAGCCTGCCTGCGGGCGTCTTCCTGGTCCAATGCGGAGATCATGGACCTGATTGAGGTTTGGGGGGATGCCTCCAATGTACATGACCTCTGCAGTAGATGGAGGAACGCAGCTGTCTAGGGCAGGATAGCTGCCAGCCTGGCTACCAAAGGCCACATCCGAACCAAGGAGCAGGTTTGGATGAAAATTAAGGAGCCGCGGCAGGCCTATGCCAGGGCCACAGGGGGCAGCTCCCAAACAGGGTCAGACCCAGAGAGCTACCCCTATTTTGACACCCTGGACCACATCTTGGGGGGCAGGATGGTCTGTGCCCCCCAGGTGGTCATCGACCCTGGGGCAGAGGGCCCTGACCAGGGCATGGAGGAGGAGGAGGAGGACCAGGAACTTCAGGAGCCCGGAGAGAGCGTGCCACGCAGCCAGGACCCCCGAGCCGTTCCAGCAGACCTGTTGCCAGTGTCATCCGGGGAGGCAACAACATGTGAGTGCCATCACTGTCCCCTTCTGGAGGGGGGTGGGGAGGGAGACCAGGGACCACGCACATGGGCCTTGCTGACCACGGATCACGCAGAAATCTGTGCACATGCGAACACATGCCATGCCACCGCTGGGCACGTGGCCCCAGATGACCGCCACACAGCAGCTTTGGCCTGTTAGCCACACGCGTGTGAAGAGACATGACATGCTCCTGACCCCGGGGCGGGACACAGCAGGATGCCCTCCCTTCACAAGCCCCCTCTACAGAGTCATGGGATCTCTCCCC